TTGAGAACATCTTTGATTATCTAGTTGTGCTGGATGTTTTCAGAGCTACTGTACCGTCTGCTGCCTGTTCTCAGTTCTGTTCCTGTCTCACTGACTTGTAGCCATCACCACAGGGCTCTACTTGCATGCTATGTGACATTAACGCAATCTTCTCAAGTATGTTATTACTTGGAAGAGGAGGCAAAAATGTTGCAAGGCTTGATTCAGAGAAGTTCAAAGGATGTGATGATGTGGAGTATTTTAGGTCACCAGAAGAATGAGGAGGAGAAAGGAAGTGAGAAGATAGATCTTTATCCCCCACATGTTCCTCCTGACTCTCATGTTCATCACCTGAGCTGCTAACACATAAATCCATGCTCGGATGCTCAGGACTTTCAGCTTGCAGCTTTGGGACTTTTGTGTAATCAAAACAAACCTGAATGGAGTTTTGGCCCAAAATGTTTCCACTGCTCCCAAACAGCTTTTGAACATCTACTTTCATCCCATCCCCTCGCTGCTTCTCTGCCTCGTTCTGAGTTCCCTCATCGTGTCCATCAGTCATGTTGATGCTATCTACCTCCATGCTCTCCTGACTGACTTCTTCACAACTGCACATGCCTGAATCCACACTGTGGAGCCTGAGGTTCTCCATTTGGAGCTTCTCCACCTTCTCATAGTCTAAGATCACCTTCACAGCCTCATTGTTCTGATTACCATTAACAATCAACTTCATGATCTCCATGTCTTTCTCTGCAGCTACATAATGACCCTGTTCTGTGTTTGTTTCTTCAACCGGGCCACAAACAGGTCCACAAGTGCCATCAATGGCACAGGGCTCTATAGTGAATGAGGACACAGTGGAAGGAGAGCAGAGCTCAGAGTAAGCCGGGTTAGAGAGACTTGAACAGGAGGATTCGTAGTTGTAGTTTTCAGGCATCATTTTCACATCTGGTTCGTAGTATGTGAGAGCATCCACAGAGGAGGTTACTTCAACTGAGACGATCTCCACTGGTTTCAAGAAGGAATAAAAGGTCTCACGGCCTAGGTCTGGGTTGATCCAAGTCTGTGTGAGAAAAGAACAAAGTAGCAAAAAGAGACAAATAAGAAATGTGGAAGATACTTTTGAACATTAGCCTGTTGTTGTCTTTTTATTCTGATTTTAACTGGTTATTTCTCATTGATTTGCTTTGTTTGCACCTTTTGATGTGTAAAATAATATGTATCATTTTACAAGAATATAACTAACAGTATATTTTTTAGAAAAAATCACAAAATATTTTAGCAGCTCAATTTCAAGACCCTTGTTACATATTTGTGCAGTTAAACTCACACACTCAGTAATGACGAGAATTGTTTTAAGGGAAAAGGGTAGTTATTCATTACAACAGTCTATTAAAATAATTTGTGCATATCACCATTTTGCACAAACTATCCTACATTTTGTTAGGTAAGATAGATGGCAAAAACGTTCTGTTGGTGCAATATGGTTTTCCCATAATAATATCTGTAAGCAACACTGATGTATCATGTCATACAAATTAGCTTTTCCACAAATGTATATGACCAATAAAACACTTTTCTGGTAAAGTTTGAGGGGAAAAAAAGCCTAAACTTACCTGTAAATGTGCTAATTTTGCAGGGTTTGGAATGGGTGGATCTATGATCTTCTTTACTATGGGGACCCTGAAATAAAAAAAAGAAGATAGGCCTATAACACCAAAGTTAAATAATAATAATAATAATAATAATAATAATAATGTCATCACATTGTCCAGATAAAAATCCAACAATGTTCAGTCAGGTCATCTGGACAGTTTTTTTTGTTTTTTGTTTTTTGCTGAGATGTCTCGTCCTTCATCCAAAGGACTTTTTTTTTTTTCTTTGAAATATTAAAACATATTGGGATCTGACAAATATTTAGAAAAATTCTCATGTGGTTGTCTTTTCTTACCAGGTGATTTTACCCATCCTGAAGAAAACAGCAGCCAGCAACAACCCTGACACTGCCAGGCCTGCAAGAGACATGTTCAGAATGCCCACATCTGTACCTGACAAACACAGAACGACACAAGACCCATTAGCTTAGAAATAAAGAAATAGCAGTATTTTTCTTGATCTATCAACGACAACTGAAGTGGTTATTATGTTTATGATTTGTGTACATTTTTTTGTCCTAAAATCCAGTTTTGGACAAAAAGCCTTCATGTGCTAAGGTAAATGATTGCTTTTAAAAGAAACCTTTTCCCATAATATCCTATTAGAGCATATTTTTCTATTTTCCACATTGCTACAACAGGACATTCTGTCTTTTAGCAATAAATAGTGTTTGTTTAGCTCTCCAAAGTATTATTCCCTTGACAGTGGTAACTAAAATGTTGTCCTCTGATTAAATAGACTTATATAAATAAGTTAGTTTTGTTCAGGCTCACCTGATGGTGGTTTGGTTCTTCCCACATGAGACACCCAGGACTCAGTAGGGCTCCAATCACTCCAGATCCCTTCATACTCGGACAGTTTGGCTTTCACACGAACACGTGCCTCGTACGTCTCACCTTGCACCAGTAAATCAGGATCCAGTTCTGCCGCACAGTCCAACTGACAGCTAATCTCTTTTCGCTGAACAGAAGGGTCCTGACAAAGAAACAAAACAAAAAAATAAAATAATACAATTACTGTTGGTTAATTGACAATTAATTGATTAATTCTACTGTAGGATCATTTCAAGTATTTTGCGAGTACTGCATAAATACATGTGTAGTTCTGCTACACCAAATATTTATACTTAAATAATTACAGTCCAAGACAGATGCTGATGTTTCCACTCCAGCTGTGAGTTGTATAAAGATATTTTAAGATGTTCTTCAACTTGAGTGAGCCAGACCACTTTGCTACTGGTGATATTAGGTTTTCCTGGACAATTCACCTTTACTGTAAGATACCACAGATATTAGTAGTTTATCTATAAACACGTTTCCAGTTATTAAAGTGTTCGGCTGTATATTATAGTTTATACTCACTGTGACATACAGGATTGTAGGGGATAGTTTCAGGGGTACAGCTCAAGCTCACGGAGAACACACGAGAAAGTGAAAACTGAAAAGGAACACATTTTGCTTTTGTGGGACATTTATGACAATTTTTTTCTCATGAAACTTTTTTGTATATTTTATTTTTAAATAATTTTTTGCACAAAGTTGATTGTCACAAACCAATGTACACGCTGATAGTCAGATGTTTATTGCTTTGGCAGTAATTTACATTAAAAAAAGACCTATTACAATACTGCACATACAGTACATGTGTACATATATAATGTCATAGTTTCCTATACAATAACAAAACTGTAATACCAAATTGTAGTCCCTATTAAGCAAATATATGTGACCTCAGATGCATGGATGTCAGTGTTTCAAGATACAGACACCGATGAGATTAATATTTAGAAAAGTTGTGAAGTTATGGCTTTATCTTGGTACAACTGACCATCTACAAGATTCTACATACACCATGTTCACTGAGATACCTGCTTTCTTTCTGTCCTTTTTCTGTTCTCTGACAGAGGGAAGCTGTTTGCATAGTTTTCTTGGGGAATTGATCATTTAGTTCAGTTTGTTCCTTTAAGCTGTTTGTCCTGTTGTTGGACCTTTATTTTTGTTTATAGTGCTAAAATTTGGCAATGATGTGACATGGACCTTTGTGGCTGGAATTTTGGGGGCCTAGAAGATGTATACGTGAAAGGTGATGTTTGTAATAGTTTCTCTAGGAAGTTTCAGTTGTTTAGTTATAAAGGAAGAGGGCCGTCTGCATCATGAAGGACCCCACTCAACCAGCACACACTTGCCCCACTCTCATTAGGCAGAAGGTTGCGGAGCATTGTGTAGAAGTTAGTCAGTAAGAGTCAGAGAGATTTATTCGTCATTCGCTTCTCATGTGGTAGATGTGGTGGAAAGAGATTATGTACACAGGGTCCCAGTTACATCCAACAATAAAATGTATAAGAAAAACAGTAATAAGATCTAAGATATGAACTAAGAAAAACATCAGCTAAATAATACACTAAGCATTAGTAGCATAAAAACATTACGTTGAGCAGCAGCACAAACTTGCATGAACACATCAACATGAACCAGATCAGCAGCAACATCATGTGATTTTTCACAGTGATTATCCTGGTTAGATATTCATGAGTCTAACAGCCTCAGGGTAGAAGCTGTTTTTCAGTTTAGTGGTTCTACACTTAATGCTCCTCAACCTCCTTCCTGAGGGGAGCGGGGCAAAAAGTGTGTGTGCTGGGTGAGTGGGGTCCTTCATGATGCAGGTGGCCCTCTTCCTGCATCTAGAGGTGTAAATGTCTGTGATGGTGGGGAGACTGACAACCACCAGTCTAGAACCACTAGACTGAGGAACAGTTTCTACCGTGATGCTGTTAGACTCATGAATATCTAATCAGAAAAATCACTGTAATACCACTTTGGTGATATGCAACTTATCTGTGCTGCTGATCTTATGCTGCTGACTATCTCATGTTGCTGTATTCATTCTATTTACAACAGACTTATGTTCAGGTTGCTGTTCAATATACCGTATTATTTTACATTATTTGTGTTTAGCATATATCTTTGATCTTTTAGCATAATGTTTAGCGTTGGTTTAGCATATATCTTAGTGTATATCTTAGATCCTTACTGTCTCTTTTTATACTTTATATTTGTTTCTATTTTTGGGTGTAACTGGGACCTTGAGTACACAATTTCATTCCACCTCATGTACCACATGTGATGCGAATGGCAATAAATATGCCGAACAGCTGCACGAACATGAGTCTGTGTGAGCAGATGAGCACGCATGAACACAGCAACATGAAACAGATCAGCAGCAACATCATGTGATTTTTCACAGTGATTATTCTGGTTAGATATTCATGAGTCGAACAGCCTCAGGGTAGAAGCTGTTCCTCAGTCTAGTGGTTCTACACTTAATGCTCCTCAACGTCCTGCCTGAGGGGAACAGAGCTAAAAGTGTGTGTGCTGGGTGAGTGAGATCCTTCATGATGCAGGTGGCCCTCTTCCTGCATCTGGAGGTGTAGATGTATATGATAGTGGGGGAAGGATCGCTAACTTAGATTTTTTTTTTTTTTGTCAAGCAGAAAAGCGAAACCATCTCACGCACCATCATATTTGTGAGATTTGGTTGGCAGCACAGTTTGAAGTGCTCTCTTTGCAAAAGGTTTGTAAATTACATAAGTATCAAGTAATTATAACAGGTTTCCTTTACACTTTCTGTCTGTGTTTATGTTTAGCTAGACATAAAATGACAATAAGCTATATTAGTCACGCCCTATTGTCCTCACTTACAAAGTGAATAGAGGGAATTAGAAATACCCTCTGTCTGTTCATTTGTCCTTGAATGATAATTTGAAAAACAAGTGAAGTAACAACTTCCATTTTTGGTGTGTGGCTACATCTAGGTGTAAGAAAGTTTCCTTTAAAAAATTGGGTTTCCAAGTGAAAATCGAAGATAGCTCTGCCATTTATATATGTGTGCTTTGTGAGTTGAATAACTTAACAAATAGGCATTGTGCTAACTTCCATTTTGCTGTGTCACTGCATCTAGGCATAAGAAAAGTCCGAATCAAAACTTGAGCTGCCATGTGAACATCATTTCCAGAAAAGCATTCTTCTCAAAACCTTTAAACTTTCACATTCTAATCCCAAAGGAACATGGGATATCAGTGTACCACATGTTAAGAAAGACATAAAGCTGTGACTAAAACTCATAGAAATACTTCCATTTTCAAAATGTGCAGATAAGACAAACTCATAGAACAGAATAACAGGAACAAACTCTAGGGGATTGTCAGGATGTGCAGCAAAACTGCTGGCATAGCCCTACCGAATCCCACTGGCCTATACAAGGCCATGTCACTGAACAAGACCAGGT